GAAAGAAGGAACTCAAGAGCTGTTCACTGTCTGCTCTCCCTTTGCCAGCTCTTCTTTGGGCAAAAAAGATGTGGCTACTCAATTGACTTGTCTGTAACATGTCTCCAGCCCCGGCCCTCTTGCCTACATTCTTCATTACGTCTAAAATCTTTAGCCGCTGGCCACCACCATCAGCCTCAAAACACACCCCCCATCAAATTGACTACGACGTACTCTATCATTGTATTTTGAGGGCAAGGACTGTGTCACACTTGTTTTCATATCCTCATAACTCAGCAGGCTCAAGAGGTGCTCGAATAGATGCATGGTGCACGGGATGAATGGACGCACAGTGAATGGATGAATGCCTGGAGCCACAGTGCATGGTATGAATGGCTGCTCCCCTCTCCACCTCATCTCTATCCCTTGAGGGATTCTGATAGGCTCTCTCTGTTCCTCGCCTTCCCCCAGATTTCCTGCTCCATAGGAACGTACACCTCTAGAGCTGTCAAATAGGGTTACCAACTCTCCCCAAGACTGCCTGAGATGCTCTATCACTGAGAAGTCATCTTAACGCTGGTGAATCTATAACTTCTCCCGTTTCAACAAGCAAACCCCCCTACTGGTCTCTCTAATCCATACTGAGGTTTGTTTAGCCCACCTCTGGGCAGGACCAGGGTCTGGCCGTGAAACAAAGCCTGAGGTCTGGGCTGTCCCTGGGGAGGATGAAGGATGCTAAGTGATGAGTGCAGACTACCCAGTCCAGACCCCTGCTGACTACTCCTCCCTCATCTCTTTGGCTGCTTCTTTCCTCTGTACTCATCACCGGCATAATTTGTCTAGATCTTCTGGTGTGACCCATAGGCCCCTCCCACTGAGACTGGGAGCTCCTCCTGGGCTAGTCACAGTGTTTGTTCTCATAAGACCTGGCATAGCACATACCTTAAGCGCCCCCCAAGTGCAACTGAATGAGAACTGTGGCTCAGTTTAGTTTGGCCAGAAGAGAGCTGAAGCTTATATCTCCATGGAGAAAGAAAGATGAATTAATACTTGAGTGAGGTGGGAGTTAGGTCCCCTCTAATGGCATGGTTTAGTTTATACCCTGGGAGGACAGGTGAACCCACAGTTGGTGTGCAGACTGAGTCTCCCTGCCCAGAACACAGCCCCTGTGAGAAGCCTGGGCTCTGAAAGGTATGGAAGCCTTGGTGTCACTGGGTGCAGCAGGACACGATGGGTTTCTGGGGAGGTGAGAAGAGCCAGCTGTGGCCGAAGTCCCTGGAAGTCTGTTTTAGTTCTGCTGGGCAGAGCATCTGCCCCTACTTCCCACCTGCATTCTGCCCCAGAGAGAAGAGTCACACATAGAAATGGAAGGCGAAGCAAGGAATCCACTCAACTCCCAGAGCTGCATGGAGGACACGGTGTGGCCCCTGAGACCGGGTGTACCAGTCTGAAAACAAAGATGTCTCCCACTCTGCAACACAAGGCTGGATGATTAGCACACAGGGAATATCATGAGCCAGCAGTTTGCAACAAAGCTGGCAGGTGGCTGGAATGTTGATCTGGAGGATCATATTCCAGAGGGAAGACTCCCCTTCCCAGGCCAGGCTGGCACTCAGTATGGCTATTTCAGGCTGGGAGGGATTAAGGTTGAACCATGACGAGCACACGTGTGCACACACGCACACACAGACCACCCTGACGCTCCTTCTCTCTCTCCTCTCCCTCACTGACTCCTGTGCCCTGAACTGGAGATGTCAGGGGCACTGAAAGTTCCTGGTCCCTGTTTCTTGGCAGCCCTGGGTGTCTTCCTCCTGGGAGAGCCGTGCCAGCCCCCATGCCTACCTGACCTGGGAGTGTAGATGGGGACAGCACACGACACGCCCCTGCTGACCCCCTCCTCCAAGCCATCGTCTTGTGACTCTCTCCATCTCACTGTGGCTGCCCTTCCTCTTTCTTTCCCTCCTTTTCCTCAACATCACCCCCCTTTTTCTCAGTCTGCAGGTCTCGCTGCCACCTTCTTTCCTTGGCTTTTTTCCTCCAGTTCTCCAGCCTGTTTCCAACTCACTCCTGAACACTGACCCTCGGTATTGGCCCTTCTTTCCCCTTTATCTTTCTTCCTATGTCTCCTTCCCTCCTCTTGCCCCTCTCCCCATTGCATTTGTTCTTCCAACAAATCCTTCCTGGCCGTTTATCATGCACGAGATTTTGTGGCAGCCACTGCTGGGCTCACGAGGGAAAGTGCAACAAGACTCTGAAGGAATGAGTCTATTTCAGGAGAATATCAGCAAGCGGAAGCCTGGGTGGCTGTTTTTAGGCCCATAATAAAGTGATTTGGTGATTTCAAATATATAAAATACTGTCTCTACTCAAAAAGTGTTTGTTGTTTGGGAGAGGAAAATGAGGCCTCCACCAGCACCTATCATAGAAAGCCACATGTGATATTTGCAGTATCAATGGCTCAGTGTGCTCTGGGAGTTAGCAGGGAGCAGGCAAAGTTCATCCTAGAGGGGTTCAGAGAAGCCTCCTGGGAGAGCAGCCCTGCTGTGCGCTTGGGGAAGAGGCTGGGATGAGTCTGCAGAGAGGTAGGGTCAGGGAAGGTGTCACCCGCACTCGCAGGCATAGGCAGCCTGATCAGCTCAGAAAGGGTGGCTGAGGCCAGACCCAGCAGGACCTCAAATGTCAGGTGAATGGTCGCAAATGCTGGCAGCTGGGGTGGGATGGGGCGGGGGTGCTGAGCAGGAGAAAGACATGAACAGAGCTTGAGGAAGATGGATCCAGCAGCAGAAACTTAAGGGGTGCGTGGGTGTGTGGGCAGGCTGAAGAGTGGCCAGGAGGACAGGAGGGCAGGCTAGAAGCTCCTATAACAGAAGACGAGTAAGTACCCAATTTACCCACTGAAGCCTGAACGAAGTAGGCGGTGTCCCTCAGAGACAATGAAGGGACAACTTTGCGTAATACCAAAGAGGAAAACCTCTCTGAGTGTGTCTTTCCTTCTCTTTCTTGGTGTCTCCCCCCTCCACCCTACAATTGTCTGACCCCTTTTCCCCAGGGGATCAGAGACCTTTCTGTCCTGGCAACCCCCGAGCCAGCTTTACCCCTAGGCAGAGACCTGATGCTTCCAGGGATGGCAATCAAAGTTCTTCCTTCTTTCCTCAAAGCTCCAAGGGCCTGAGCACTGGGATCCCCCAGGTGAACTGATTTTGCAGCAGCCTCTCTGAGGCCTAAATCACCCAGAGCCCATGTTATCCTTCTCTGCCAACCCTGTTCCTCCAATGACCCTCCTTCCTGCAGCCTAATGCATTAGCCTCAGGCCCCCCACCCTGAGGGGGCCGCTGTGGCTGTTAAGCCCTCTGCCCCTCCTTCCCCTTCCTACCACCCTGGTACACCCCCAGCTCTGGAGCTCAAGGTAGAGTTGGAGGGCCCAGGAGGGGAGAGCCAGTGCCTCTCCAAGGACCTGATTATTTCCAAAGACTTGTGCTAATTTTCTGATATGATCCTCACATCTCTGTGAGGCACTAAATCCTCATTACTTTTCCTGACCGATGCATTCTAATTAGATCAACACTTAAAAAAAATTCACAATAGCCACAGGATGGCTTTCCATCTCATTAACTCCTCACTTATTATTTTCATGAAAATTACTGATAAAAATGTGCATCTCCATTTGGTGAGGCCTCACAGCCTCCTCGGCTCCTATCTCGCATCTCTCCCATCACCGGGACTGCGCAGCGTCACCATGGTAACCCACAATAATAGAAACTAATAAATTACAAACGAGATGCTCGTTGAGCAATTATTGTCCTCTTTTATGCAAGTTTCTTGCTAATTTTGATCATAAGGGAAAGTACAATAAGACTCTGAAGGAATGAGTCTATTTCAAGAGAATATTAGCAAGCAGAAGCCTGGGCGGCTGTTTTTAGATCTGTAATAAAGTGATTTGGTGATTTCAAGCATGGGAAGAGGGAAATAAACTTCTTGCCCTGTGTGTTCTGGGCAGTCCTCCCTTTCAGGTCTCACAAAGATCCCAGTGAGTGGACTGGGTGTGATACTGAGTGTATCTTATGAGCTTGTTGTCAAGATGTGCAAGGCCCGGCTGGCCTTCCAGAGGTCAGCCTGCCCTGTCCCCGGCCTCAGCTGACTGCAGAGATAGGGTATGTTTGCTATTTCTTCAAGGCCTACAGACAAAAGTGGTGTAACCTCAGTAACTCTTCTCAGCACATCTTGCTGCTTATTCATAGAAAGTTTACCAGTATCCCCACACCGGCTGTCTAATGATAAGCGGCTATAGAAAGCCTCTTGAGGGACCCTCTGTGTGTCTGTCCAGCACCTAGGAACAAGGGGGCGAGGCCACAGTATCTGCAGGTGCCAGTGAGTTACCTGAAAGGTGTGGCGAGGCAGCTTTCTTAGTTTGCGAGTTTAGGGGAAACTGAACCAATTCTTGCCCAGAGCTTGCAGTCACCATTTCTGCATTTCCCTGTTCCCGGGAAGGTGGCAAGTGAATCTTGGAAGGGGGTGGTTTGAGGTGACATTTACAGTGGCCTCAAGCCTTGGGAGGACAGACCAGGTGAGTGGCTAAAGAATGATAAGGAAGAAGCAGTTGCAGGGGGAGCTGGCTTCATCTCTGATATGGGCGGGATTCAGGAATGACTGCTTTTCTCAAACCCCCCTTCCTGGGAACACAGAGAGCGCGGCGGCTGCAGCCCTCTAGGGAAGGCTGTGGGGCTGGGACATCTCGACCCACTCCTGGTTCATTCCCAAGAAAGCTGCTATCACCGTGCTCAGGAAGCCCAGAATTATTTTGGACACTGTCCCTCTCAGATCTGGTCATTTTCTAGGGAACGCTGGTGACCTGGCATGGCAGAGTCTGTGTATAAAGGGGACTGTGCCACCCCATGCTGTAATCAGAAGTGGGTCAGAGGAGGGCCTCTGTAGTGGAAGGATCCATCGGGTCTAATCTGAAGGCCACCAGGGAAGCTTCCTGACATCTGGCTTAAGAGATGGGTGCCGGCTGTGCCTATTACCTGTGAATGAAGGTTAATGGAGGGCTGGTTGGGGGAGTAGGGGCCCCCGAGGTCGTTCCTGAGCAGGTTGTCGCTGTGCATCTTGGTTTTGAGGCAGGTGATATAACGGTTACAAAAGTCCTTACAGAGTTCGTTGACTTTCTCCAACTCCAGCAGGTGGATTCTCAGGACCTGGATCGCCTTCACCATCTGCGAGAGGGAGGAAAGGTAAGCCCGGGTGTTGGTGCCACAGTCCCTTGCTACCCAGTCCCCCAGCCCTGACCACACCAGGGGGGCCGTGCTTTCTACACTTGGTCTTAGCCAGAGGCTGAGAGGGCACTCGCCTTCTCTCCACACAATTTAAATCCTAGTTATGGCTCATGCTGATCATTCCCCTGCTTTGAGCACTCTGTTATCACAGCTGCTCTGGAGGCAGCTGTGGTATTCTGAGAACAGCACTGGCCTTAGAGACAGAAGGCCTGGTCTAAGCCCCAGGCCTGCCATTTGCTATCTGTGTGACCTTGGGCAAGTTGCTTAAGCTCTCTGCACCTTAGTGTCTAACAAATGGGGATAATTATCCTCTCCCTAACAACTTTACAGGTCTGTATGAGTATCGTATGAGGGGATGGGCATGATAGCATGCTGTAAGGTGTGAAGTACTGAACAAGCAGAAGGGAGATGGGGATCAGAGTTTCTTGCAAGCGCCCCAGGAGGTCAGGAACTATCTATTCTTAAACACATGTTCTGAGCGCTTCATGTGATATGGGCTACCCTGTGGACAGCCATTGATACGTGCTGACTGACCGAATAATCCAGCATGACTTAGCTGGGCACTGGATGCCTAACTCTGCCATGTGGCCTTGTCTGTGCCCTTTGGCTAGTTGTGTCTGTTGCTTCTTCAAATGGACATTCCTAACCTCCCCATGGCCACAGGCTGTTTTGCAATTGAAGCTGTAATCTTTACTGCTATTGTTATCACACAAAGAAAACACTAAGGAAGATATGGAAAGCAGGGGCAAAAAAAAAAAAAAAAATAAAGCTTTTCTTTCAGCTAAGAGAATGATCATCATTTTAACATAGTTCTTTTTTTTTTTTTTGAGACAGGATCTCACTCTGTCTGTCATCCAGGCTAAAGTGAAGTGGTACAGTGATAGCCCACTGCAGCCTCAAACCCCTGGGCTCAAGCCATCCTCGCACCTCAGCCTCTTACGTAGCTTGGACTACAGCACACACCACCAAGTCTGGCTAATTCTTTTACTTATTTATATATATTTTTTAGACGGAGCCTCAAGCTATCCCCGGGTAGAGTGCCATGGCATCATGCTCACAGCAACCTCCAACTCCTGGGCTCAAGCGAGTCTCCTGCCTCAGCCTCCCAAGTAGCTGGGACTGATCTAACCACTA